GGCACATTTCATTTTTTTTTCAGAAAGAGTTGAATTGTAAGCAAAATCACAGCATCATACAACACATTTGAGATGTGATAAACATAACTGACTTGAATACAGGCTAAAACACACAGTATTAAATTAAACCTAAAGTTCAGCCAGTGCTTGTACTGACCTATCGAGCTTAAAAGTGCTAACTTTCATTGTGTGACTGCCAGTATAACTTTTTACAACTGATAATAAAAATAGAACTGGTTGACACAGTGGAAAGATATTCAGTTCTAAAATTGAAAGCAGACCTCAGGCTAAATACCCCAAGGGGATAGATTCTCAAAGAAGATAATATGATATGTTGGTATTCAGCTGCTATGAAACTCATCAAATTTGGTGCTTAATGCATTTTGATGTGAAAATATTGTCCCTGTATAACTGGGGAAAGGGCTGTGGGTTGGAAGTCTAGTCCAATAGGCAGTTTTACATTTCTGTTCTTCCCTCTCTCAGGTAAATGGACAGGCTCTTAGCAGTGCATATGCATCCCATACCAAGCCATGGATTGCACTGGCTAGAGCTTTAGGAAGTGTGCTACATGCACTGAGCCACCAATTGAATGGAAGTGTGCAGCTTATTACCGAGGGTGAGATGAGAGAGCCAGGCATAGTACTTGGCCTTCAAATATTGGCTTTTTACCAAAATCTTTTCACTCCTTTGCTTTTGTTCTCTCATCTTCCTACTTAACTAAACCGAAAAGCTTTAGTTTTCAGCCTACATAATTTCTCTTGTGTGAGATTTCATCTTTTTAAAGAGAGTCAATAACTTTCACCCTCTCTGGGATGTCTTATGTTTCCTTCTTTGTTTTGACTTCTGCTTTTTTCTCAAAGTTTTAAGAAAACATGTTTCAGAAATTGTTAGATGTTAGATTAGATTAGATTAATCATGTCCTTCCCTAGGATTGCTTATTCTCACAAACTAATTGTGGGAATTTCTTCTGCAACAAAAGGATGCATGAGATCCATATGTGTTTGTGTGCGGTGTGTGTGTGTGTGTTTGTGTATGTGTATGTATGTAGATATACACATCTATATAATAGCCAGAAGGCTACCTTTCCAAAATGGTTAGGGGAAGACAACACTCTCCATCTGAATTAATGATCATTTAATAAAATTAATTCTGTGCATGTTGACTTTGTATTCCAATTTGAGTAATGATTCTTATTTGCAAGTAAGTGCTGGGGTGGATCTATTTTTCCCAGTTTAATCCATGTAAGATTATTCTTCAACTGTTGAGCTTGACCCCTTTCTACTTGAAATATAAAAATATGCCATAGAAGCTTTTGTTCTGAGCTGCAAAGCTACAGAAAGCTAGGCAACTTATTCTTCCTTCAAAGTCCCAAAGTTTTGAAAGAGCCAAGAGTGCAGTGGCTCTTTCAATTCTATATATTCAATAAGTGAATCACATTCTGCTCTCATACTCCACCAGATGGAGAGTATCAGTGTTTGCAACTGAGAACTGTTCTATCCATCAAGATTCTCCACTCATCTTGATTTTTCAAACTCTATCATCTCTCTCTCTCTTTTTACCTATCCTATCTATCACCACCATTATCTTTCCTAGTCTCTACTTTATTTACGCATGTTCACTTTCAAAAGCATCTTGCTCCATTGGCTTTTGCTCTGTTATTTTCTATAATATGGTATTCTCAGCAAATACGATGTTTATGGGGGAGCGGGGAGTCTTTAGTTAGCTTCCTTATCAATATTTTGTTTATTTTCCATATCAGAACCAATCTGTCTATTAAATGTATGGATGCTGGGTTGCTCCTGGCTAGGGTGAGAGACAAAGGGCCTTTCCTTGAAAACTGAAGGAGTGAAGCTGGTGAGAGGATCATCTATCAGGAAAAGACTTACCGTACCTGTTGTAGTCTCTAACAAGAGACAAATGGAAACTTGCAATTTTGCTTACAAGGATGGTTTCTATTTGAAACCCTGGACTTTGCTCCTCAGTTTATACATCTTCTGAGGAGAGATAATATTAAGTGCCTTCTGATGATTCAATCATGCCTGTAATTTTCACTAGGTTCAGCCTTGCAGAAGTCCAGCAACTACTTGATTCCTGCAGTGGCAATGGGGCTTCTTCAAGAAACTACACAGAAGAATGTGAACCTTGTGAATGGGCTGCTTCTGGCTCAAGAGGCTGGGTTGAAGGTACATAACTCCCTTTATCCTCTGATCCAAGGGCTAGTTTATTACAGGCCTTTGAGACAACTGCAGGATCATTAAGGAGATGTGCAAAGTTATTATCCCTTAAGAAATGCTGCTATTTCTTTCTGAATATTTCCATAATTATAAAACAGGTTGAAATTCAAGGCATGCATCTTTCCCAGGACAGTTATGGCTGTATATAATAACCCTACACTTCTGTTTTCGTGATAGACAAGAACTCACCTTTGTGCAGCTATGCATATCTGGAACAAAATTCTTCTTTCAGGGAAAGCAGTGTACTAATTTCCCTCTTTCTGATTCCTAGATCACCACTACTCATACTGACGGAGCACTGGGCAATAATGGACAATTGCGACTCACTGCAACCAATAGCCCTCATGTGCTTGTTGGCTCTGTGCAAGGCACCATTCCATGCTTGCTAGAACTCAACGGAGCAAAGTTCAAGCAGCTGGTTCCTCTCAATGGTCCTCTACTGTTCTACAAATCCAAGACCTCCAGTGTCAGTGTGTTGCCAACAATTATTGGTAAGACAAAGCATTTCTCATCCCCTTCACTGATTTTTAGTAAGAATTTTGTTTAGAATCAAGTTCCCTCCAATTTGTGCTCCAAAGACTAAAACCATAGACAAGGATGACTTATGGATATAACTACCTTTGGTGTATCTATGAATAACATTGGATTTTAGAAGAACATTTATGGTAAGTGCTCCAAGGCATGATAAAGAACAGGTGAAAAATTTAATAGTTCTATAAAGATGCTTTAAACCAGGATCTAATGAATAATACGATCTTTATTGGTATATAATTGCTATAACCATCTGCTTATGGGATTTTGGGTGGAGGGAAATATGGGTTGTCCTTACTTAATGACCATTCATTGACTATTTGAAGTTAGAGCAGCACTGAACAAACTGTATTTATAACTGGTCCTCAAAATTATGGTTACTGCAGTCCTGCAGTCATGTGATCAAATTTCAGGCACCAAGAAGCCCAGCCACATTTACTTTTGCAGTGTGTGCTTCAACTCCCCCCCACACATATCTGCCCTTTTAGTCATCCTGCACTTCACTGCCATCACCTATTTTTGCCATCCTTCACCACCTCCAGCTGTTTTTTGCCATCCTCCTGCATCTTCCCCCTCATGCTGTTGATGATGTGTGGTAAGCTGTGGAAGCTATTGGCTCTAACAACTGCAGCTGGGTCTCTACCAGAACTGCTGTTGTTAAGTGGTATGATCACGTTTCATGTAATGACTGCTTTGTAACAGAAATTCTTGCCCTGATTAGAATTGCTAAGCAAGGATTACCTGTATGGAAAGCACTTCTGTGATATATGGAAATAAATGACATGGTTAATGAAGAGAAAATTGAAAAATTATTCTGGAAGTTCCAGACATGAGTTTATTACAAATTACAATTTGTAATGAACTCACAATATGTGCTATATGACAGGCAGTCATTATGAAGTAGTTTTTTTTTTAAAAAAAAACAATCCTTTTATAAGGATGTGTATAAGGGAGAGAGACAAATAGTGTGACAACAGTGGGAAGAGTGGCATAATTTTTGATCTTTTTCCTTTATTAAGGGGGTGTAGGAAGTGTTTTAAAATTAAAATATAGATCTATTTTGTGCATTTTATTTTTTAACAAATTTCACCACAATTTGGCACCAAAAATTAGCAGTGTAGTCTTATAAGATTACTGGTCTGCAAATGCATAGTCAGATTTCTGGAATGAGCATTGTTCTGATTTCAGATCTGCTAAGGAAGACCAAAATAGAGATGCTGTGCTACCATCATTCCAGTACTGATAATAGTGGACAGGAGTGGAATGTCCTGAGTCTATCTTCTGCTCTACAAAACCTGCAGGAACTGAAGCCACATCTGACAGAAGTGTTCCAGGTGGTACTTTAAATTCTGGTGAAGAACCTGACAGGGCCCACCAGTTTCTGTAATGTGAATCTTATATATCTAATTAAAAATAATGCAAAAATGATTTTATGCATCATTGCTTTGTGTATAATACACTTGTTGTCCTTGACAGCTCTAAGATAAAAACGTATTTCGGTGTGAGAAATGAAATGGTCTTTTTACTATTTACTGATATAAATCATTCAAGATGGCTCTTAGTTCTGAAGAAAACAGAATATGTCGCTTTATTATTCAGAAATCA